CCCCCTTTTTTCCTCCGTGCTCTTCTTTACTCTTAATATATGCTTGCATGTGTCCTTCTGCCCCTCACTCTTTTGCAAATCTGATTTCATTACAGCTGTAGTCACACTCTCGACTGAGACCTGGAATTTAATAAGAGGACACATCGGCACTCTGCTCTCCATCAGCTTTATAAATTATACAGCACAAATACTCAATTAGTGCCAAGAATTGAATGAAATTCAAGAGTAATTTCAGACTCCAGATTAGCTTTTTCCCCCCTCTTTGATTGAAGGCCCACTTGTCGTCATTGGTGACTCCAGAGTCCATCTTCATGAGCCTCATGCTGCAGAAATGCTGTCTCTTCTAGCCTTTTTTGATCTTCTCTGACTGACGGCTTTATCAGATCTTAAACCTGGATTCCAGCAGAATACACTAACTCCCGTCTTCATCTTCAACTTGTACACTTACCTATACTTGGGGCTGGGCAAAAAAATCGAATGCGATTTTCATGCTAATCTCGTCAGTAAAGCCACTTCTGGCGATTAGTAGTAAATCTCCAGCACGTGCTTTCAGATGGAGCGGCATTTACTACACAAAGCTGTAGATCACTGACAAGCTACACAAAATCGCGTTCAAAATCACATTCGTTTTTTTTTTTGACCAGCCCTACCTATACTTAAATGTACTCTTGTTCAAAAACTTTTTAAAATTTCTTTCCATTACTAACTGAGTTTGTCCTGCAGGTATGTTGGGCAACATGAAGCTGGATGTGCTGTGATCCTCCATGACTGAAACCCTCACGTCATTTGTGACCGCATTGTATTGTGTGGTGGTTATAGTGTTTTTTCTTTTTATAGCTTTTGTATAGATGGCTTTGTTTGACCAAAGGTTGTGACTCTGAGGATCAAAACGGGGAGTCTGTGACCTGCAGGTGCCGTTTCACTGTACTCGGATCAGATAGATGGGGCGCCCCAAGCTCAGTACAGTTATAGGGATGGCTGGTCAAGGACGCTTTGGATAAAACATATTAACAAGCAGCTCAAATGTTTGAGACAGTAAGTTTCAGTATATTCAAAGGCGCTTCACATTCTTTTGTTAGTGTCCCTTTAAGTTTTTTTTTTTATTTTTTTTTAAATGATCACTTGTGCACTTAACTTTGGCAGTAATACAGGAGCCTCAGCCCTTGTGTGGAGACCTGACTCATGAAGGAAGGCAAGTGTAGATAAGGCTTTTTATTTTATTTTAATTTATGAATGTTCTCTGCCCCCCACCCACATTTGCGTACAGTGGTTTATCTCCATAGTCCCAAATCTGAAGCCGCTGTCTGCTCATCTTTGGCTTGATTGAGACCTTGATTCTACTAGAGGACATGACTTCACTTTCTTCCACACCACATGCCAAACAAGCATGTTTGTTTTCTCTATCCTGAGCTATAAATTTCTATTTAAGCAACTTTTGAATTTGCATGCATATAAGATCCATGGTAACCTCATATGTACCATTATCCGAGTTGGATGCATTATCCTTTACATTGATGTGAGGATTATTCAAGTAAATACTGAAGTACTCCAAGTATGTTTGCTGTGAACTTTACATATTTCACATACTTTTGAAAACCAGCCTTTAGTTGATCCTAAGTGCTCATTGTCACAGCTGTAAACATGACCGCTTTCTTCCATGAGGGAGTTTGGTGTCATGGCATATTTGTTTCCAGGTGGAATGTTAAAGAATGTGGCGCGTCTCCCAGAAATCCTATATAATTCAACCAATCAGATGACGACTTGGAAACTCCTGTAATGTTTCCAGTTTTGTGTGCCGTATGCATCAGATGTTCAGCCAGGGGTCCGTGGGCATGATGGCTGAGACTAGAATCAACCAGGCACTGATGACCTCTTCTCTCTCTCAAGCTCACCTTGAACGGGGTTCCTTCTCTTAAATACCTGGAAATATGCTCTTTATGCATCTCCTTTGAGACATTAGGGTTAAATGTAAACCACAAAACTCATTCCATGTCTTCCAGGTGAGTTGGGCAGCTGCTTAGATGAGTTGGATGTGATCCTGTCCCGTTCCTTAATGGCAGCTCACTTGTATTCATTGAGGGTTTCATAGGTGAGTGCTCATTCTCCAGAATTATGCTCTTCTAGGCTTGTTTGTTCTTCAAGCTCAAGAGATGTGGAGAGCTTTTTTCAGTAAACTGCCAACTGAAACTCAATTGAATCTTGTATATATTCTCTTTACTGGGTTAAGCCAAACTCTCCAAAGCCGCTGGGAATCATGGCCATCCTTCTGTACATCCTGACCAACCAATGATAGGCATTAAATAGGAAAATAGTGTCAATAATTCAAAATGACAATAGTGAACACTAGTGTTGTTTTTGGCGGCCTGTTTTAATTTTAGTTTTAGTCTAGTCTTTGTGTGAAACTGTCATTTTAGTTTTTATTAGTTTTAGTCATGTTCATACTCGTTTTAGTCAACTAAAAGTCTCTGGGGTAACTTGTATTTTTTTTTGTATAAATGTATTTGTCTTGACTGAGTCATCTATATTTATAACTTGTCTTGTAATGCTATGTGTACATTTAGTGCAGGGAGTGTTGTAATCTCTGTAGTTTAAGCCATGGTCGTTGATTAAGGCTCTCTTGTTGTGGTCATAGAATTTGCCCCTCTATCAGTACTGCCTTTGATTTCAGGTCTGCTTGTGCTCCTTATGCTCTGTTCTGTGGGTCCTCTAAGGTCTGTCCACTCAGCTGGTCCTCCAGGGGCTTTTATCAACTGGCATGCGAAGATGTTGCAGATCTGTGGGCTCTCCAGATGCTCGTCATATGGCTGGAACTCCTAATTCGTCCTTGCTGCAATCTCTCTGGAAGGCTGGAGCCTCCTGCTTGGAATGTCCTCCAGGTCTACTGACTCGACATTGGCTCACAACTGTGTCAAACCGAACTTGGCACTTTACTTTTTCTCCCTTGGGCTCGTTCTACCAGTGGTTCCTGGACATTATAGTGTTCAACCCAGTGCAGCCCGTCCTTCTGTTTCAATGCACCATGTGTAGACTTTGCGGAGTCTGTTTGTCTGGTATGACTACATAGTAACTTGCTGTGCAGTTGTGTTGCTTAATAACTTTTAAAATGTAAGTACTTTTTGAATAAAAATAGTAATTTTAATGAATGTAAGTTTGTTTTTTTTGGGGGGGGGGTGAACAATCTGTCTAGGGTTGAGTTAGGGATTACAGATCCAATAATCAGAACAAAGTCCAATTACG